CTAACCACTCGGCCAAGACGAATATATATATATATATATATATATATATATATATATATATATATATATATATATATATATATAACTAGACTCGTTTCGAAAAACCCTCGAATTTTTGATTTGCTAATCAAATCAATCTCGAGGAAAAAAAGGTTTAAAAAAAGAAAGAGCTACAAACATGAACTTCTGCCGACAAAAAAATCGCACAGATGCAGGTCTGAAGCCCAAAGAAAAAACCCCGATACGAGTAACAACTAACTAACAAAAGAGTTCAATACAACCGTAGAGCAGACCTAGATACACCTAGTGAGCCAGACAAACCTACCTAGGTTTCACCTAAACGGATCGTCAGGGAAAGTTTATATATATATCTGTGTGTATGTGTGTGTGTGTACATAGAAAGATATACATTGAAACATTCTGAGATAGATAGATTGATAGATAGCAAAATGGATCCCATCCATTATAGCTCAACATTCATCGGCATAAATTGTGTTACCAATTCAGTTCTCTTTTACCTGTTCACTCAACTCGGATGTTTATCTGTTTAACTCATAGGGGCGGAGAGAGGTGTTGGATTAGTATATACCTTAAGGCCATTGTACGTAACTGAATGGAATTCGAACTCGTCTCTCAAGCTTCTCATTCCTAGCGGTTTTCCATTGCACCATGTCACATATATTATATGCTACAAAAATCCTAGGTAAACATAAGGTGTCAAATTGTTTCATGGAAGAAAGAAAAGAAATGACAGTAAGCCACTTCTTTTCTTATTGAAAAGATTTCGATATATACATATATATATACAAATATATATATATATATATATATATATATATATAAGATAGATTTTAGAGAGAAAAACTTTCTGGTACGATACGATGAATCAACTTTCTTGGCAGCAGAGCTAACAATCGATTCAATATTATCTTTCTATTTTATGTCAGAAGGCAATATTAGGTCGAGAAGGCGCAACTAGTCATTTTTCTGGAGGTTAGCTACAACTAATAAAAATGAGAAAAATAGCAATATTAAACCTGAACAGGAATATATAAGATGTATGGTAAGCATCTGTGATATTGGATAAGCCTTACTGATGTATCTGTTTTTTGTTTTTTTTAGACATCCGTCAAATTAATTTTAAACTTCGTAGAATAAATAAATCTCTTTAGGACAATAATAAAACACCGATGAAGCTAATTTTTAATGATTGCCGACTCCGGTAAAATAGAGACAAGGGTTATTTTGCCGGTCACGGTAAAATATAGACCAGTGTCATTTTGCCGGTCACGGTAAGATATAGCCAAGATTATTTTGCCGGTTACAGTATTATAGAGACCTGGGCTATTGTTCCGGTCACGTTAAAATAGATACCAAGTCTATTATGCCGTAAATATAAATAGGGTTTTAGAAAATAATAATATATATATATATATATATATATATATATATATATATATATATATATATAGTTAGCCAGATATTTTTATTAAAATTTAGATCATGTAACGGGCATGTGTGTGTGTGTGTGTGTGAAAATAAAAAACAAAATAGGAAAAGAACTCGGTAGGTAAATAATCCGAAGTTCTTTAGTATTTTGTTTTATTTAGAATAAAAAAAAACACTGCTCGATACAAAAGTAGAGCCTAAATGCAATCATTTATTTAAAAATATGAATCCTTCGCTTACATAAAAGTTCTCATGTTTCAAAACAAGAGCTCTTTTTTGAAACATGAGAACTCTAATGTAACGGTTGTATAATGGCCCGGATACTTCATGATTGTTGTCACTGGAACTCCAGTTCCAGTGACAACAATCATGAAGTATCCGGACCACTATACAACCTCTTGCCGACACAATGACGTCCAGACCAGTCTGACAAAGACAGAGCAGCAAAAAAGCTAAAAGTTGAAGCCAACAAGAAGACTCCGAGACCACAGGTAAAAATATTTACCGGCGAAATAATCTCATTTTGAGACCGGTAAAATAAGCTTAAAAACCTGTTTGCTTACTTTACTGGATACGTCAAAATAGCTTCTTCCAATTTAAAAATAGGATAAAAATTTTAAATTAATCCTTAAGCCGGCTTAGTCACATTCGGCGCGGTTTGCAAGATATGCATACGTTTATGTGGAAGATATAATATGCATATCTATTTACGAGGTGCATATAAATTCAGAGACTGCCGAGGAAATAATGATGTTAGAGCAGTGGAATCTTGCATTCATTGATTCCAAGTCTCCTTATTAATAGTTGTATTGTTGTTTTTTTTCAGATAAACTGCCATCTGACTGTACAAATAAAACCCGGTTCATACTTCTCTCCGATCTTAAAAGATCTACAGGAGTAGAGGTTTATCCATTTCTTCTTAATTTTACGTCATCTCGTACTTCTGACGCCTAAACTCATTTACTACTTATTTTTTCTCAATAGGTGTAAACTCCTCCCCACTCTTTTGAACAAGTGTAGAATCTTATCTTTTTTTCTGTTTAGGATTAGGGCTTAAGTTTCCTTCTAAAGTGTTCTCGTTTTCTTTCATTCCAAGAAGCTCCTTGCATTTTAGTAGCATTATCGCCTTGATTGGGGGGTGAATTGATTAAAAAATATAACTAATTTTATTGACAATGGACAAAATTTTGAATCGTAGTGGTATCAAGTACCTAAAGAAAAGTTTTTTAGCACCCAAGGATATTCATGCTATCATAGATGCTACATTAAGAGATGGAGCTCTAGCTTTATCAACAATGCGAAAGTCAGTAAATCAATTTAGGAGATGAATGATGAGTCTTGGAGTTAAGCCAAGGTCAGAACTCCCTATACATGCCACCATTGGAGAAAGAAAGAACATTGCGTTCACCATCAATGGATAACTATAAGCCAAATAGCCAATGCTATTAGCATATCCCGTGTGAGAGTTGGCATGGCACTCCAGATTTGGCCCCATATGACTATAATCTGTTCCCCAACATGAAAAAAAAAACATAGGAAGCTTTAAGGCAGTGATGATGACGCCATGTCTGTTGTTGACATTTTTGACAAACAGGATAAAAGCTTCTTCACAAATGGGATCCAAGCAGAACAACACTGTTGGATTATTTCGTGGATCTAAAGGAGGACGATACCGAAAAATAAGCCTCATTTGGTCACATTCCAGGAGAATATCTTAGTCAGCCTATGGATCTTTCAACCAACCCTCCAGATGTTTAGTTGATAAAATCAGAGATTTGTATTTATTTACATTATTTACAAAGTTCGAACAGTTGTCCTCAAGTTTATTGCTATATTCATGACGTTTCGACCGTTGCACGCCCCGGCCTTCCCCACGTGATAGTAACTGAACCCTTTATTTCGTTCACCGGAGTAGAGTGTTCTAGTTCCACGTGCCGTACCTCTTCCGAATGTCTCACTTATCTCCGTTTAATTCAACTGTCCAAGATGTTGTTCACCACTGCAGTTGCCAGGTATTTTAATCAGAACTCACATCTCTGGATCAAAGATTTGTGTTTACTTTTGTAATGTTTGCGGATGTAATATTCTACGCTTTTTCAGGATATCAAAGCTAAGAAATAGTTTATGACAAGTCTCTAACTCTCATCCACAAAAGTTTCATATATGATTATTCTATATGATTAAAGATGCAATATCGTTGACTACAGATAGGAGATTTTATCACTCATCATAATTTTCTTTGTTTTTGCCAAATCGCGTTAATAATAAATACTGCATTTGAATTTTAATAAAATTTCTCGGCAAGAATACTTGCTTATCAAATGAAGCGTGAATTGTCAGCGCAACTTCGAGAGTTTCATATAGATATCATGCATGGCACCAAACCTGTTCAGAAGTCTGATTTATCGTTTTAGGAGGTTTTGTTCTTTGTTGATATTCGTGGTTTTAAGCAAAGGCCTGAAAGCAGAATACTGTATTTTGATTCGCAACATAAATACTCCCCATTTCATGGGGGATTTTCCCAAATTAATATCGCAAAATCTTTGTTTAATTCATAGCCCACCACTAGTAATAGAATTCAAGCTTTTACGAAAACCTTTTTCGGGCCCGGACTTTAATATATTTTTTGGTAGTTTTCCTTCCACTTGCTAATTACATCGACCTTCTGTAGGGTTGTCTGGATCATTTTCAGTCTGGGTATAGTGAGAGCAAGGCGTGTCCCTACATCTGATCAGAGATTTCGAACAGAGGTGGAAGGCAATGTTGTTACAACTTTCCTTTTTCCACAGTTGAGGTGGGAAGAAGGGCATTCAATCGCCAGAGTACATCTTGCTAGGTAGCTTTTCCCCGGGTGAGCAGTTGAAAGCTCACCATTTTCCCGCGGTGTTGGCCTAACACTTGAAACTTTCAACATCAGGTTCCGGTCATTCATATCCAAACAGTCGATAATGGAGCTGAAAGGTCTCCGTTCGATTAGGAAGTCAAAACTCCACACTCCACACTAGGTAGAGAATGTCACGATTTCGTTCAGTGAAAAACATGAAGCTCCACACTTAGAACTGGACATCATATAAATTATTTTAAATAGGTTATATCACAAATTATATAAGTTATCCTAATTTATATCATAAATCATATATGTTATCCTAATTTATATCATAAATTATATAAGTTATATCATAAATTATATACGTTATATCATAAATTATATTAGTTATATCATAAATTATATAAGTTATTCTAATTTATATCGTAAAATATATGTTATATCATAAATTATATAAGTTATATCATAAATCATATATGTTATCCTAATTTATATCATAAATTATATACGTTATATCATAAAGTATATACGTTATATCATAAATTATATAAGTTATTCTAATTTATATCGTAAAATATATAAGTTATATCATAAATTATATAAGTTATATCATAAATTATATAAGTTATATCATAAATTATATATAATATTCGGTAGGAACAGACAGTCCCGTTTTCGTAAAGTCGAAATCGTAAGCGGTCACATGAATACCGGACACTTTGAAATGGACCTCAGCTATTGTAACAAAGATCTTTGGCTGCCTCTTCTATCCTTTTATCTGGAGTTAGAGGTAGTCTGCAGTAGCGTTTTGTTTGCTGCTCGGTGCATAAAATATTACATTGAAATCTAAAGACGACTTCTCTGTTGCAAAAATTCTGTGAAACTGATAATATATGTGGGTGGGGGATGGGCTGATCCATATATTTTGAATAGAGACTTCGCTTGTAGATTCCTTGTTTGAAATAGTTTGATATTGTCTGTGCTCCCGTATTTTCTTCTCTTTTTCTTATTTCATCTTCGTTTTTGTGTTCCGTTTTTGTTTTTTTGTTTTTGTTTTTTTCATAAACTCAGTATTTCGGTAGTTTGATCAGTTCAACCTAACAGGAAGTTAAAAAAAAAAAAAAAAGAAATTTAAAAATTCACCCCTTGTAAGTCCCGGTAACTTCAGTTCAAGAGGGTCTCATCAAAAGATTTCGAGATTTTATCACATCGTCATCGTGAATATTTCTTTTTCTTTTAAACAACAATGGCAGACAATTTTTTCTCGGTTGTACTTATCTGAAGAAGAATTAAAAGCAACGCATTTTCTTTTACCAATGCCGCTTAGCCTGTTGATAATATATTGGTTTAGTTGATCTAGATATTTGAGGGATAATCATCGCATGGCGTTTTCTTAGAATATATTTATTTTTGCTCTTCCTAAACGGGTATTTCATATAGATATCATGCATAGCATCAAACCCATTCAGAAGTATCTTAATTGTCTGCTGTATCGAACAGCTTTTCTTAAATACATGGTTAAAATGGTTTTGAAGTCTGTGGGTCTTGTTGAAGGCCATTCACATTTGAACATCGTGGATTAGCGCAACAGAACCAGTAACAGACACTTGTACCAGCCAACAGACACACACATCACTTGAAAACTTTCAACAACAGCATTAATATCGCCTGCAACTGGAAGATAAAATAAGGACATAATCAAGATCTTGTCATTCCACACTAAATAAAAAGTTAGAAATGAAACTTCACCATTGCTGGTGAGATAACCGTTATTCGACGAAGGTAAACTATTTTCCTAAAAGAATTGTTTGAAGAGAAATACATTTTCTTTTACTAATACCGCTTAGCTTGTTGCAAAAATTCCCTGATGTTGATAATATATTGGTTTTGTTGATCTACTTATTTTGGGGATCATCGTTTTCTTATGATATATCTTTTTGCTTTTCTTTATTTTCTGTTTTTTGTTTTCTTTGTTTTCGCATGCATTTTTTCATTTCTTTTTTTTTTTTTTTTTTGTTTTGTTCACGTGTTTCCTAACCACATTATTTTGATAGTTCTAAACAAAACAGTCCAACCGAACAGGTAGATAAATAAATGTTTCCCGATTGTGTCCATCAGGGCTAGTCCAAGAATACCAGAACTAAAAAACAAATCATCCTTTCATACAAAAGAAAAACCAGTCTCAACATAGATTTTCCGTCAGTTATTGCTGAACGTATAAATAATGAGAAGCAAGCATTTTGAACTTCATGCAATTGCCACAGATGGCGTTTTGAGTGTTGCGATTTTAATATCAGTTTCTTTTAGTCGATGATGCAGCAGAGACACGAGAGATGAAATAATTAGTTGATCGGGAAGGGCATTATTATTCAATTGTTAATACTGAACGTCTTTTATACAGGAAAACAAAACGACAGGAATGGTGTCAGAAAATTGATGTTGTATGTACAAAAATCGTCCCGACAAAAATGACACTTTCGGAAATAAAAAGAAACCACTCCCAGGAAAATTTATTACTGCAAATAAATAAAATAGGTCAGAAGACTCAAGGGCAGAAAGACGGTCTGGCCATTTCTTTTCTAATGTTTGCAGTGGTTCCCAAACGATGCAGCACTCCTTGTGGGTGCAGCGGAAGAGGATAGCAGGTGAGGCGGAATGATTGAAAGACAATCAAAAAATTTAGAAACAGTTTCAAAAAATTCATATACCAAAAATAAATATGATTTTAAAATTTAAAATATTATTATGAATTATTTGCAATTGTATGCATGAGCCTCAGTATAAATAGTTATAAATAATTATTGACCGATTTTATCATTGTGATATTTTTGCATCATATCAAGTATAAAGAATATAGTAACTAGGCTCCGCAAATTGAAGGAGAGAGTTATCAATAATAATGTTCTGACATTGAATTTTCCCTTTAACTCTCTCTCTGCTTTTTTATTTATTGTAAAAGGTATTTTTTTATCATATAAAATTTGGTGAGACGCGAGCAAAAATTAATACTAAAAATGCGTCCCAGAGAAAAAGAACGTTTGGGAATCACTGGAACTCACCTCGTCACAATTAATGACCAAATCATTCAATAATATTCCATTCACCAAAACGACACATTCTTGCTTATCAGGCTCACTACAATCACCATAATGCCACAGTTTCTCTAAAAAGTGCTATCTTATCACCATATATACAATGCTAGGAGGAAAAAGATAAAAAATCGTTTAAAAATTTGAACTCTAATGTGTATTTACAATGTTAAAAATTATTTGCAAAACCAAATAAATTTATTAGTAATAGGAGCACACCACAATCTGACAGAAATATCAATTAACCAGACAAAAATAAGATGATGCGATTTACTTATAAAAAAAAAAGGAGTATCAAGCATACATAACAACAAAAACGAAAAATATACACGAAAAACATCAAAAGCGTCCTGCACCCACTAGGGAACTGATATGTCAGCTAACAGCAAAAGAAAATGGAATTTAAACTATAGAAAGAGGAGATAAAAAAATAAACGTGTCGATGACCCTACATACTCTCCCTAAGTTAACTTAAAGCCAGAAACTAAATAGATCAATTACGACTGTGTAGTGAGCAAGGAAGTTTACATATCTGGGAAGCGTCTTGACAGAGGACGGTAAGTGCGACACTGACATCCAGAAGCGTTATTGGGATGACCAAGGACACATTCCAAATGTTTGGCAGAGTACTGCGAGACAGGAGGATTTCTTTGGTAACAAAGAAAAGAATACTGATCTGTTACGTAACATCTGTCCTTCTTTACGGCAGTGAATGTTGGACGATTTCCTCAAAGAGAAGAAGAGGCGACGGAGATGTGGTTCTACAGTGGATCTACGGATAGGATGGACTAAGGATATCATTGACCGAAGCGTGTATCAGGAAGAGGCAACGGTGAACACATAATAGAAGGAGGGTTTGGAGAATCTGATACAAGGAGAATAAGCTTATTTATCTTAATATCAGGAAGAGGCATGTCTGAAATTTCTGGAACAAATAAAACCCAGGAAGGAGGGTTTGGAGAATCTGATACTCACTGGTCGAATAGAGATATGTTCGAGAAAGCAACGCAAACCTGATACCTGCAGATGTGGATCTTGAATAGGACATGGTCTGGGGGAGGAAGCAGAGGGAATGAACTTGTTGAGAGCTGCAACGAGGGATAGGGGGAGGTGGAGACCCATGATCGCCTAAGTTCTGAAAGGACATGGCACATAAAGAGAAAAGAAAGGAGTATAATCATCACTGAGTGCTCTATATTTTCGACCATGTGCCACATCTGGCCGTCGCTTAGTAAATTACTATGAGTACTTCGACATTGTGCAGTCGTTAGCAAGGTTATCTCGCCAGCTCACTTACTACTGAGTGGTGATTTTGATCTTTTTCAAGAATTTTCTTTTATTACACACATACTCACACACATACACACACACACCTATATATAGGGTGCGATGGATAAATTGTCGTCTAAAATACACAAAAATAAAATTAGCTCAGGCATCTCATTCTAACAGATATATTTACCAAATTTGCACAAAAAATATCATGAAATACTAAAGTGTAAATTTATTCAATAAAATCGCCATTGGCTTCAACCACAGACTCCCGACGACTTACGAATCTCCTGCCTCTCTTATGGACGGTCTCCTTGTTTAAGTTGATGAACACTGCCGTAATACTTTCCTTCAGTTCATCTTTTGTGTTACAAGAAGTTTTGTTGGCCTCTCACTCAACTGCGCAGCAAACATAATAATCAAGTGGGTTGTAATCTGTGGCGTTAGAATGCCAGATGTAAGCGGTGTTAATTGTCTAACAGCCGTGAATGGGTACTGCTGCTTGTGCGGCATGGTGCAGAGTCCTGTTGATAGACATAGAATCTTTCAACAGTCTTGACCCAGAAAAGTAGTACCTCCTCAAGCACTTGATGTAGTCCCACGTGTTGAGTCCTACCAATCGCACCGTGTATGTGTCTTTACTGAGGATTTAGTGAATACTAAACACTCATAATACCCTCATGTATGGATCAGTTTTAACATTTTTTTTATAAGAGATAAGGACATTAAACATAAGATATGCTGCGCCAGGTCTAGTTTTTAACAATAGCGCAAGTTGCTGCAAAACCAAAAATATAATCTGTAAACTTGTCATGTTCTAAATTAGTTTCGTCATACAGTCTTTCATATAGATGTCATGCATGACACCAAACACGTTCAGAAGTATCTTGGTTGTACGCTGTATCCAACTGCTTTTCCTAAACCCATGGTTAAAATGGTTTTGAAGTCTGTGGGTTTTGGTGAAGACCTGAGAACATCGTAGATTGGCGCAACAGAACCACAAACAGAGACTTGTACCAGCCAAATGACACCACATCACTTGAGAACTTTCAACAACGGCATTGATGTCACCTGCAGCTAGAAGAGAAAATAAGAACATAATGAAGGTCTTGACATTCTACATTATTTTAAATAAAAAATTAGGAAGGAAACCACACCAATGCTGCAGAGATAACAGTTACTGGATAATGTTAACCTATTTTCCTAAAAAATTATTTGAAGAGAAAGCTTTTATAAATTTCAGCCGACAGTCGTATAAACTTCACGTTCAATAAATCCAAAAAATTCTGTATAAGAAAACGGTTAAAATTTCCATTACCATTCTTTGTATGACGATTATGTCTCTCTGCAACTTCCTATCCGTTCTAAGCAATAGTTGTTCCCTTACCACTCCCATATTTTTACACAAACTATTCGATAAGTTACTTGGTGTTTTTTGTGCCTTCAGTATGTCATGTGAGTGTTTAAATTCTCCGCGTCATCTTTCTACATTTCATCTTCAAGAAATTTTAACAGACTCTTTAAATTGTTTTCTTAAATGTCATTCTTGTTTCCATTTTCTTTAAAACTTTGCCATTTCTGACGCGTTCTGTTTATGGAATTTTTTCCGAACAACATTTTTGTTGCCGCTAGTCTTCTCTTCCTTTGCGAGGAAATTGTCCATCTTTCACTACCATAAAGAAAGATTGAGATTACATTATAGTTCCGCATTCATGTCTTTGTTTCTAATGATATATTCCTCGTTCTTAATGCATCGATTCCTTTTTTTAGAAGGACTCTTTTGTTATTTCAATACGCCTTCGGATTTCGGTGTCACATTGTTAATCCTCCGCAAAACCACTTGCCAAATACTTAAACATCAGTACTAGTTTGATTTTAACCTCTAAAATTCGTATCTCGCATTTTAGGATTTTTCACTTGTTGATTAGCAGACTTTCTGTAGTCCTTTTTCGTTTTTTTTTTTTCGGAGTTCCTGTAATATTTTTTATGTGTCTGCCACCAACACAATGTCATCGGATTATGCTATACTATTACGATTACGCCCACTGATAATAAATCCTCTTAGGATCATCATCTCCCTTAGGTTAGCCACACACCACAAACCCACACAACATTTCATCAGCCCAAGATACAAACTAAGAACAGAAAATACTGAAATCAAGCAAGCAAGAAAATTTAAATATCTGGGATGTGCTCTAACAGAGTACGGAAGATGTGACACACAGAAATCCGAAGTCGTGTTGGAATAGCGAAATATGCTATACAAAAGCTAAGCAAACTATTACGAAGCAGGAAAATTTCGTCAGAAATAAAGAAAAGAGCACTGAACTGTTATGCAATATCGGTCTTAAAGAAATGTGTGAAGAAAGCAGTAATTATAAATTGTAAGATAGCAGAATATATGGCGGTCAATTATAAATCTGGAGAGGAGACTCATATATGTCTTACAACCCTTTCTATCTGCTTTATTACTTTTCTATCCATATGCCAGCAGTTTGCTCCAAGTACATAGTCTGGACTTTTTTTTAAGCATGACGCCCCGAGCAAGCCGTGAAGCCACTAGAATGCAGGGGGTTGCAGAAGATTTGGAGCGAGAGCAGATAAGAGTGATAGAAGAAAGGATGAGGAGAAGGATAGTGGATAGATCAAGTAACTGGAAATGTCGATTGACATTACATTTGCATAGTTGGAGATTATAGCTTTCAGAGAAACAGTAATTGGGAAGGATGTTCCACAGGTGAGAGGTGCGAGGTATGAAGCTATTGGAGTAAAAGAGACGGCTAAATTTAAATGTTTCTACAGTGTAAGGGTGAGAGCGAGATGCCAGCCTCGTAGGGCGCTTGAATTCATGGAGTCTGGGAACCAGTGAAAGCAGCTCAGCGGAGCAATTACCATGAAAGTATTTTTAGAAGAGAGAAGCGACGGCGCGTCTGTGACAGAGTGACTGTAGACGAGATGCCAGATCAAGGCCAATTATATTACATATCCGTTTCTGGATCTTGTCAAGAACTCCGATGTAAACAGAAGTTGCCCCAGACCATATATGGCAGCAATACTCCATGCAAGGGCGAATGATTGATTTGTATATTTGAAGTATCGATTCCGGGGAGAAAAGTTTCTATTCTAAAATCTTCATCATTTTTTCCTAGTATTTTAAATAGATTTTTGTGTCGCAATTTTGAATTTCCTATGATATGATACGATAGCTAGCAATATCAAATTAGTATTCCTTGCTAGTAACTTCGACACTTGCATTTCTTTATTTGTATTCTGTTCTTGTGCCATTCTAGACTAATCTTCGCAAACATACTTTCCTCATTCGTCTGTCCTATCTTCTATTTGAAATGTTGTTCTACTTATAGTCTTTTTTCTACTCTCTTAAATACTTTTCTATACTCTTTGTTCACGTTTCTCGGCCTCGTTCTTCCATTTTATCTCTGCTCTCCCTTTTCCCAACTTTTAACACCTATCGCGTGCTTTCCATCTACTTACTCTCCTTTCACATCTTTACTCTCCCGCCTGCGCCTTTCTCACCAGTGGCGTCACCGTTTTGCAGTAGCTCACGACTGCAGCACCGCCCCCGGTCTTCATTCGTCATCACCACCAACTCCGTCCTACTACTCTTCCGTTTTCATCGGCCCGTACGCCACTCAATTGCGCATTTTCCATCTCGATTCAAGTGTGCGGTTACAATCACAAAACTTGATCAGCACCTCCGGGCATTTTTACCTACTCGACCCGCACTCTTCCGTCGAAGCGTCTGCCCCATTGCAGGAATAAGTGATGATGAGAATATTCGTTCTGAATGTCCTCCATTGGGCGTAGGCTGGGGTGAACGAGAAGAAACAAATGAATCGATATGAACGGAAAGAGAGAGAGAGAGAGCGTGTGTGTGTGTGTGTGTGTGTGTGTGTGAGAGAGAGAGAGAGAGAGAGAAAGAAAGAAAGAAAGAAAGAGAGGGAAAGGAATAGGGGGAAAGCGTAATATTACCTATTTTTCTTCAATCTTTTCATCCTTTCTTTTATCTCTTCGTCTTTTTTTTTCTCTTCTAATATTCATCTTCATGTCCTTGCTGATATGAGACATGTTCGTTAACGCTTTTTCTTGGTCCAGTTTCTTCCAACATATCGAGTCGCTTCTTTCTCATTTTTTACCTTACCATTTACACTACTTATAACGAATAATGCTTAGTAAATAACTATATTTAGTCTGTGCACCTACTGTAGCTCAATTCTTACGACGCTCAACTTGTAGATTAATTTTTCGTGGGGTTGGTTTGAATGCCAGTAGAGAACATTATACTGTAGCTCTGTGCTAGATCAAGCTAACACCGTGTCCCTTCAAAACACGGGTGATCATGCAATTACCTGACTGTTATTTCATCAAACATACTACCACTCTTAACCCATATTCTATCAAGGTCACTCCCACAAAAAATGAATCAGCGGTCAGCTAACTAGACATCAGTCAGTGATGTGCCATAATTACACACGCTTTCTTCATGTATCTTTCGATACATGTTATGTTAATTTGCCCACGCACGCATGTACACACCTAGCTATAAATAGGAGCAGGTACTGCCTTTTGGAGAGGGAAATTTCCAGCAGTCAGCTCTGAGAGTCGGACCGAACATTCTTGCTGTAACTCTCTTGTTTGTGTATGTCTGAATTACTGTTTCTTTTAATATATTTGTTTAACTCTCTTCTTGTCTTTTATTTCTGGTCCTAAAAAGGCGACAACAATACATAACTGACGAGGCAGATTTTTTTTCCCGCAGTAGGTTTCCATTGCTTTCTGCGGTAGACCAGTTGCCATCCAAGGCTACAGAACCCGGACTGTCCTGCTATTTACCCATAGTTGTGTGGGAGAAGAAGAGGATTCATATCTTTTCAAAGGATATTAGAAAGCAAGTGAATGTAATGGATTCGACTGGAATTCGAACTCAACTTTCAGACTCTTCAATCCGAGCCGCTATCTATTACTCCAACGTTCATCAAAACCACTGTGAAGCTGGCTACGGGAAAATACTCCAGTATTTATTTGTTGTAGATGCCGAGATGAAATCCGGTCTCAAATGAATGACAAACGCAGGAATGAAATATAGCAAATAAATGTATTGACGCTATAATACAATTGGTAATACGGTTAGTAGATCCAGAAATGCGGTTAGTAGCAATAATAATATATATATATATATATATATATATATACAGTCTGCGAAATTCAGTATCGAAGTAGGACTTCCTTCTGAGTCTACGTGCTCGCAACTGTGACTCCAACCAAGCGGTTACCACACTCTCTCACTGTATCACTGTATCAGTGTATCTCTCTCTCCCGGGTATTCACAGGCAACAGTACAAGTACACACTGGTCAAGTCCACTTGTATGAAAAAATTTCGGATCCCATAACATTATGCTAAGACGATACATGGCAACTCATAATGTTAATATCAGAGATAACGGCGCGAATCGGTCCGTTAAAATTAACTTCTCAACCTGTAAAAAGAGATATGTTCAACAGGATTTATTATTTATAACATAAGATATATAAAAGATATAGTGTTAATAGGAGACTCAGCCAGAAGATGACATGAACTATTACAGAAAGTAGTAAAGAAAAGTGTGAAGAAAGCTGTTCGTATAAATTGTAAGACAGCAGAATATATGGCGGTCAACAACAACAGCAGCTCAAGATACGAACTAAGAACAGAAAATACTGAAATCAAGCAAGCAAGAAAATTTAGATATCTGGGATTTGTTCTAACAGAGTAAGGAAGATGTGACACACAGAAATCCGAAGTTGTGTTGGAAAAAGAGCACTGAACTGTTATGTAATATATATATATATATATATATATATATATATATATATATATATATATATATATCGCAGGATCATTTTCCAACTTATTGAAGATGATCTTTTCCTTCTCGAACCTACTGTCTTCGAGTAACAAGGTGTCTCAGAGGTTATATGTACAATTTCATTTTCAAGTCTTTTTTTACAGCTCATAATAGCTGAAAAACGTGCCATTTTGTTCTATGGACTCAAGCTTCAAGCTTAGACTCTAGGGTTTAGTTAATGTCCAGTTTCTCATTTTCAATGAATGAGAAATAATTAAAAAAAATACATTTGTTGTCTCCCACGTGCCAAAGGTCTTATAAATTGAGCTGGATCTTTTCTAATTGATCTCTGTAGTATCTAAGTTGAAATGATTATACAGAGCACTAGTGTGTCAAAAAACAGTCAAAGGGAAGCCAACACACACACACACACACACACATATATATATATATATATATATATATATATATATATATATATATATATATATATATATATACAAAAATAAAAAAAAATTTTCCAGTTGATAGATTAAGCTTTGAAACGTTGTAGCGCTAGAAATGATTAAATATATCTTACTGGAATTCTGCGAGGTTTTCATTATACTAGTGGGCTCTATTTTGAACAATAATACCGTATCAAACTCTAAGTTGAAATGATGATCCCCCTTGCTGTTGTGAATTCCTGATCCAGTATACCTCTCTACTGTTCTTTCTTTTTTAAAACTTATTCACCGTTGTATTGATGGCACTTGAATGGACATTGAAAATGGAAGCCAGAGTATGAATGGGTTTTCGATTACTGAAGGATTAAAGGATCTTTTTCCTCTCACTATTGTTCAGTTAGGTTGGCACAAAACGATTTTAACTTATTCTATTTCTAGCTGAATAACTCAAAATCTCAGCCTCTCAGCTATGAGACTTGAAAAAAAGTTACATAGATCAAAAGATAGATGCTGAGGATACCATAGACTGAGTAGCAACGAGATTTTAGAGAAAATGTAAGCAAACAAAGAGACATATACTTGTTATCCTGAAGAGACAGTTAAAATTTCTGGGGGCAGTTAAATAAGGAAGCAAGGGTTGGAAAATCTGATACTCACAGGACAGATTGAGGGACAGAGGAAATAAGCGCATAGCGTGCCCCTTAGGCTTGGGTAAATGAATCGGGGAACAGGGTTTAGAAGAAAATGCAAAAAGACAAAAAATATTAATATTAAGAAAAAAGAAGTTGTGGAGGGCCATGTTTGTCTGCGTTCTGAAGGGGAACAGTGGACATAGAAGAAGAAGAATTTATGTAGATAAATCTCAGAGACACCATCGCAGTACCTTCACGACAGGGAAGCGAGAAATGAGTAGTGCGCTAGACAGTCTTTGGCCTCGTAAGGAACTCCTACATAAATCTGCATTCCGTTCGAGTGGGTGTCGAATTTATTATACCCATACTTAGAGTGACAAGCCGACATAGCACAGGAAATATTACGCATGTCTAAATGCCTAACAAGAAGCAATGTCTTTCTAATTTGCAACATTTGAAGAAATAGGTAACACATTGCAAAATAGTCTAAGAATGAAGGAATGAAGTGCATAATTTAATTTTAAATGGCTGTAGATATAACTTCAGAGATATTCTCATCACACAACAACAGTCAACCTTTCGTTTATCTCTTTGTCTTTTTTTTTCTCTTCTAATATTCATCTTCATGTCCTTGCTGATATGAGACATGTTCGTTAACGCTTTTTCTTGGTCCAGTTTCTTCCAACATATCGAGTCGCTTCTTTCGCATTTTTTATCTTACCATTTACACTACTTATAACGAATAACGCTTAGTAAATAACTATATTTACTCTGTGCACCTACTGTAGCTCAATTCTTACGACTCTCAACATGTAGATTAATTTTTCGTGGGGTTGGTTTGAATGCCAGTAGAGAAAATTATACTGTTGCTCTGTGCTAGATCAAGCTAACAACGTGTCCCTTCAAAACACGGGTGATCATGCAATTACCTGACTGTTATTTCATCAAACATACTACCACTCTTAACCCATATTCTATCACTCACTCCCACAAAATGAATCAGCGGTCAGCTAACTAGACATCAGTCAGTGATGTGCCATGCGTGACACACGCTTAAGCGATCATGTATCATTCGATACATGTTATGTTAATTTACCCACGCACGCATGTACACACCTAGCTATAAATAGGAGCAGGTACTGCCTTTTGGAGAGGGAAATTTCCAGCAGTCAGCTCTGAGAGTCCGACCGAACATTCTTGCTGTAACAATCTCGTTTGTGTACGTCTGAATTACTGTTTCTGTTAATATATTTGTTTAACACAATTCCTCTCTTTTTGTCTTTTATTCCTAAAAAGGCGACAACAATACATAACTGACGAGGCAGATTTTTTTTTCCCGCAGTAGGTTTCCATTTCTTTCTGCGGTAGAACAGTTGACATCCAAGGCTATAGAACCCGGTCCATCCTGCTATTTACCTATAGCTGTGAGTGAAGAAGAGGATTCGTACCTTTCCCAAGTGAATGTAATGGATTCGACTGGAATTCGAACTCGGCTCTCCGATTCTTCAATCCGAGCCACCTACTCCAAACAACAATAGCTGATATTTAAAACGTTCCAGCTTCCATGCTAATGGCCTCTACACAGGCTAATTTGGTTGTCTATTATTAGTGAACTCCCTCATACAAAAATTAAACATTAGATAGGTTCGGTTATCGCCTAATTTAAACTCCTGTCCGGTCTTTTAAAAAAAGAGTAGATGTTTATCCTGTTTAGGTTTAGGTCTTCCATTCCTTCTAAAGTATGTACCAACTCTATACTTATAACACATTAATTTTGAAATTGTATTTTTTCTATTTATTTCTTAATAGGAGTAGAAAGGTTCCCCTATTGTCTGGTTCAAACTTCTTCTCGATCCTTGAAAAGAAGTAGACAATTATCCCTTGTTTCCTGTTTAGGATTGCGGTCCCTGTTCGTTCTAAAGGTGAACTTCAACTCTATGC